TACTTGTTATGAAGAGCAATCATGTAGAGACTTGAAATTCTCAGGGGCCAAAGAAGAATTATAATGGAATTATAATCAAAACCAGAGGTAAGATTTTGCAAATGTTTTCTTTGAATTTTTCTTTGAATTTTTGGGTATACCTAATCCACTATAGATAAAGGAAATTATTTATACATCTTTTAGTAGTCTATGAATTATCTATATATTAGTTTCTGTACAGACCACTATGGTCTAATGAGTATAAATGCACTGAGGTCAAAGCTGGGACAGTGAAATTATTAGTTCATAAATTGCTTTTTGATCAGTTGATAGGTCAAGATCTATTTCTTTAAATTTCATATCTTGCTCTTTTATAAATGCAATAAATAGTTTGGCTTTTTGTTTTGCTATTCTATAATTCAATTCATTTAGTTAAAATTAATCAATTCAAAATTCCCAGCAATTGTGTTACTATTTTAAGTTATGTTGCAATTTACATGTGTAGATTGTAACACAAGCTTTGGTCAGGGATGATACATGTAAACAGTTTTGCTAGTCACTGACTTTGATGTTACTGGGTGCAAAAAAAACTAAGGTATATAGGGATACAATTGTAACTGTTTTATACACATTGAAATATTTCACAAATTTTGCATATCAATTTAATAATAGAATGAACATATTCAAATTCTTTTTTTTTTTTTACTCTTTAGATTATGTCAGGATGTGTGGTGCAAAGACAGAGACAAGCCAATTCCTGATGACAGCGACCTCAACAAGGCTATTACTCGTTAGAATATAGAGACTACTCCAGGAAAGAAATGAATAAAAATTGTTAATTTAAATTAATAAATAAGAAATGTTCAAAAGGAAAATTGATTTTGTTTTTAGCCAAAAAAAAAAGAAAATCTGTACAGAATATTTTCTGTACAGAATTTTTTCTGTGCAGAATTCCCTTTCAGATATTTTCTATGGACAGGGTTAATTCTGTACAGAATATGAAGAAGCCCAGAATTTTTTCTGCCCAGATTTTTTTTTTCTGCCCAGATTTTTTTCTGCCCAGAAAATATTCGGCTTAATTTAAATATTTCAGAAAAAATCTGTACAGATTTTGTTCTTTATCGTTATTGCTAAAATCTATTAATAGAATTCTGGTTCAAATTTTTTTCAATTAACCAGATTTTTTTTCTGTACAGACTCTGTACAGAGTTTTATAAATAAAGTCTGTACAGATTCTGTCTGCATTCTGCCCAGACTTTTTCGTACAGGGAGATAATGATTATTTTTATATGCATATGTTATCAACTTAATGCATGTAAATCTATATCAAATCATCAAAACTACATAAAAACTCAAAAATAAATGATGACATCTGTCAAGATTATTAAAAACTGTTGTAAAAATTAGCCAAAATTTTCTATTTGCTCCAATCATTAAATTACACACAACCTGAATTCATGTTGATCTAAAATGTACTGTTTATATAAATGTATCATACATGTACAAAAGTTGTTCAGTGACTCAAACTTTTATATTTCCTTATTGCATCCAAGTAGGTTTATCTGTTATGAACACAGCGGTATTATTGTTCAAACACTCCTTGTATGTATACTTGATGTCCAATCACAAAAATGATGAAAGTAAATAAAAATACATTAGTCACATATCTGGCACAACTTCGTATTTATTTATGGAATTCAACTTCTGCGTATTCGACGGGCTCATTGGGCTTCTTTCTCGGTGCCGCCGGGGGATTTTGCATTAAATCTAATTCAGCATAATGTAGTTCTTGTTTGTTGGCTCGTGGTTTGGGCTTCGGTTTCAAAGGCTCGTCTACCCCGTTGCCATTTTCAGGAGTTTTTTTCTTATGAAAAAAAATAAATGAAAAGAATTATCGACAATGGCCAAAGCAGCTTGAGGTTGTTTTTTTATTCGTTTTTTTTTCAGTTACTGTTTTTAACTCCAGAGATTTTACTGAGAAATTGACTTTTATCAAATATTTCAGATTTAAGTAAGAAAGCCAAAGAAAAAAATGTTGACAGAAACCCTTAATAATAAGGTCTTGGAAATGTCTGCAAGCTGCTTTTATATGGTGCCAATGTTATGATTTTTCTTTTCATTTGTTTTCCCCTATAAAGGTGCTAATATAAAAACTACTGTTTCATAAAAACTGTGCTAATCTATCTATTGATAATATATTACACGAAGTAGATATTTAACATATTTATGTGATTACTTTTGTCTATTCTGTCCTTTGACTAACACGATACAGTCGTAACTGACAATTTGTAGATTTAGTCATCATTTATTGAATTTATTTATGACTATCAAAACAAAAAAAATGTCATATTTAAATGACTAACAAATTACATGTACTATAAGGTGCTACTTAACCAAAAACCACATTTAATGCCCTGTTCCCTTTTAAACTAAATATACTACAAAACCCGCAGTGTGACAACATCTATATAACAATAAGTGAATAAGGGGGGAAAAAAGGGGAAGTGAAATAAATCTAAATTACGTAAGTGCAAATTGCAGACATCTTCAGACCCTATTTTTCATCATAAATCAATTATAATTCAATGAAACAATCATTTAGTTCTGACTTATTTGACTAATTTTAATAATAAATGGAAAAAAGAAAAATTCTCATGCAAAGGACAGTAGACAAACAATCATAAATTTCTCTATACATTTTGCTATAATTACATCCTTAGTGCAGTAACGGGTTAACTACCTATATAGTTTCATAGGAGTTAACCCATTACTGCACTAAGGTGACAACATGAATATGCATCCTGGTTAATAATAGCCAATTTACATGCTTATAAAAAATATATGGCTATTACTCAACACATAATATACTTATGAAATAATATCACATTAGATTATGACTTAACATGTTCCTCAACTGATATTCTTTTCCTCTTTATCATCATGCATTATTATAAATTTCCAAAAAGGCAAGTTAAAAGACCAACCCAAACATACACTTTGTCCGTCTTAAGTAAGATTCATAAGGTATATTGATACCAGGACAATGTACATGTTTATTTATACACTGTATTGACTCATATTCACAGACCTGGGGATGATTACATTGATCAGTAATTGATTTAATTACAATTACTTTCTGATTTTATTGTAATTGATTACTATTGATTACTCAGACTTACCTCTGTAATCAATTGAATTACAATTACTCTAAGAGAGTAATTGATTGATAATTGATTACATTCAATGTAAAGTAGAATACCTACTGATGACCATACCTGAACTAAGACCATCCCCTTAATAAGACTATTTTTACAAGGTTCTTTGTGTCAATTGTTACATGATCCAGAATTAAGAACAACTGCTTATCCACTTTAAAGACTACCTAATTCAGTCCAAATTCTTTGCTTTATTCTCAATTTGACTCAACTATTGAGACCACTGATATTAAAATCAACACCTATCTAGATCTTAAATTTGTTGTTATGATCTGCTTGAATGCTTTGCATGACACTTAATTTCAAAAGGTGTGAAAAACTGTTATTATTGGGTTATTGTATGAAATAAGGTGAAAAGGTAAATTTAAGAGTGGTTTAATGTTGCTTCTAGCAAATTTATTTTTGTGAAAAATTAATTTTTATTTGATAGTTGATTTATGTACATCATATAATAATTGATATTGAAATCTGACCAAAGAGAATTTTAAGTTATTTTTTTTTCAGAAATATCATTATATATTTTCCTCTCATCAGATATCAAAACATACTTTTATAGTGTCTTTTATATTTCACTTGTAGCTGTTTTTTTTTTCAAACAAAACGACTAAAACAGACCATTGTCATTAAGTATGTAAGCAATGATAAGAATGTTCACAGTTAAGACCACCCCACAATTAAAACCACTTTGGTCCAGCCCAGATGATGGTCTTAATTAAGGGCTTTTACTGTATAAATGTAAAACAAAAGTTACACTGTATCATGTAAAATAATGGCATCATTTGAATTGAAATAGTTTCCTGTAAAATCTGAAAGTAATCAATGTCAATCAAATTGTAATCATGATTACTGACAGAATTTTAGCTGTAATTGATTAATTACAATTACATTAATCAATTTTGGGCTAGGTAATCAATTACATGATGATTACAGTGTAATCATGTAATCAATTAAAAAATCAATGATTACAATTAATGATTACCCCAGGTCTGCTTATTCAGTGACAAAAATACTACAACCAGTCATATAGGATAGTCCACATGATTTGAGAATTTAAACAATTGACAACAATTTTTTCAACATGTCACCCATTTTTACTTTACTTATTCTGTTCTGAATTTCCTCTGTATAATTGTATAATGTTAAGGGATTCCTAGCTGGGCTTAAGTCTAGTCAAAGTACAATCAAGTTGTTCTCATAAAGGTAACTATCCACTGTGTAGCTAGAAAAACCTCATTGAATTTGTAACGAAAACGAAATATGAGTGAACCATTTCTTTTTTCCTCTCCTAAATTAAATCTCTTCTATGACTAATTTATTATTGTATACATTGACTCAAGCTAAATAGCTTCTCCTAGAGCTTTCGATGTCTTCCTTAATAGACAAGGGCAGAACTTTTATTTTTGATTTGTACCTGGTACATATACAAGTAGCATGTACATTCATGTACAATAAGCATGCCTGGATGGAAAGGACATATAAGTGATGAAGAACCAGGCAGAGAAGAAAATATAAAACAGGACAGAGAAGTATTGACTAATGTACAAAAGGACAAAGAAATCTTCAACAAGACAGACAAGAAATGTAAAACAGGACTGAGAAGAAATGTACATCAGGACTGAGAAGAAATTTACAACAGGACAGAGAAGAAATGTACAACAAGATAGAAATGAAATGTACAACAGGATATAACGAAACAGTAGATAACAACAGGATATTGAAAATATTTGAAACAGGATAAAGAAGTGATGCTGAAGATACAATCACCAAGAATTTGTGAGCAGTATTATATAGATGATATAAACATACCTTTGTTGTTTTGTCCACTGTTGCATAAGTGTCTGGAGCTATATTGGGATTTGAAGATCTGTAACAAAAAGAAAGAATCCTGTAAATATGTTTTTTTGTACAGAAGTAAAATCTGTAACAACTCTGATTGTTAAGTTTAAGTTTTTCTTTTTTTCAATGGCAGTCAAATTAAAAAAGTAATGATCACGTGTTTCTATTCATTCTTCAGACTACTTTAAGATCAGTCAAACACTTATATATTGAACTTATCGGAGCACTTTTAGAATCTATCAGCAGCAAAATCCATGATTGAAACCTTAACCCATAACCCTCTTAAGTTCAAGTTGGTTGATTTCCCCCCCCCCCCCCCCCCCCCCAAAAAAAATGTTTCTGTATCACATAAGATTACACAAAATGAAATTTCTATGAAAGTGTTTTCATTCTACCTATATTATATCTGTAAAGAACATAGCAACAAACCTCAGTTAAAAAGATAAAGGAATAATAATTATAAATAAGTAAATACATACCCATATTCCTCTTTTGTTGTATCTGAAAATAAGAGAAAATAAAATTTATTACATAAAACATCAAAAACATATATAACTGTAGAAGATTTGGTTTTTAAAATGATAAAATATTTTTTTAAGAAAATGCTGACATAACAAGTTTTAAAGTTTATCGTCATTATTGTATTTAAATTTTTTATCTTTTAACATTTATTAAATGTTATTCTAAAATCTATCGTCTGAATATTTGAAACATATTTGAAACATACTTTTCCCTATCGATATATATATATTTATCAATCATCTTTATGTACAATATTATGTGTTTATTTAAAATATCATAATGTATTTTAAGACCTGTAATATACTTTTGTATAAGACTAATAAAATACATGTAACTTCAGACAAGTAACTTGTCTATGTTAGGTAGGAGGTGCTACAAATATTAACCAAACATAGGTACAGTTATAACAAATTCAAACGTAAACCTAAATACTGTAACAACAAGAGCTGTCCGTAAGACAGCGCGCTCGACTTTTTTAGTGCTTGCCTATAATACAAAACATTGACAGTTAAGGGCCATAATTCAAATAAAATCTTTGACAGAATTACCTTCTCCTGGACATGTTTGGGAATCATGATTGTAAACAAGTATTCCAACTTTCAAATTAATATCTCAAACAGTTCAGTCAAAAAGTGGACTGGTACTAAAAACTTAACCAAGATTCTAAGTCGATAAAAGGCCTTAATTTTTAAAACAAATCCTTGACAGAGTTACCTTCTCTTGCGTACAGATGGGGGTAATGATGTGAAATAGCATTAAAAGTTTCAAAGCAATATCTCAAAGGGTTAAGGCAATAAGTGGATTTTACCCATATTCAATGTATTTTCTAAGTCAAAAAGGGGCATAATTCTGTCAAAAACCTTGACAGAGTTATGTCCTCTTGTCTGTTGATGAAGGTCGAGATGGTAAACAAGTATGGTCAGTTTCAAAGCAATACCTCCAATGGTTTTGAAATAAAGTGAGGTGGTACAAAAAACTTAACCAAGATTCTAAGTCGATAAAAGGCCTTAATTTTTAAAACAAATCCTTGACAGAGTTACCTTCTCTTGCGTACAGATGGGGGTAATGATGTGAAATAGCATTAAAAGTTTCAAAGCAATATCTCAAAGGGTTAAGGCAATAAGTGGATTTTACCCATATTCAATGTATTTTCTTAAGTCAAAAAGGGGCATAATTCTGTCAAAAACCTTGACAGAGTTATGTCCTCTTGTCTGTTGATGAAGGTCGTGATGGTAAACAAGTATGGTCAGTTTCAAAGCAATACCTCCAATGGTTTTGAAATAAAGTGAGGTGGTACAAAAACTTAACCAAGCTCAATACACTTTCTAAGTCAAAAAAGGGCCATAATTCTGTCAAAAACCTTGACAGAGTTATGTACTCTTGTCTGTAGATGGAGGTTATGATGGTGAACAAGTATGGTAAGTTTCAAAGCCATACTTGTAATACTTCTGAAATAAAGTGGGGTGGTACGAAAAACTTAACCAAGGTGTGACGCCAACGCTAACGCCGACGCCGGGGCGAGTAGGATAGCTCCCCTTTTCATAGAAAAGTCGAGCTAAAAATCAAACATCTAAACAATGCTATATGAGATCAACTGGTTTAAAACTAGTTAAAACAGAAGACATTTCAATATATTTCAGGCAAAAAAGCAAAATTGTGCTCATTGCCTAGGGAGATGTAATGGATCAGAATAGTGATTTCTTTCATTAATTTTAGCTCTAAGGGCTCAACTGACTTGGGTTTTTTGACAAGAAAGAATTGGGAATTTTTTTCGGGAGATTTTTTTCTACCATGTCTGGGAAAATACAATAACTTGTTTAAGTTTAAATATCAGATCATTCCCTCAATCAGTTTTTCCAGGGTAATCATTTTGTGTTAAATGACCAAAATTATAAGAAGCTTTTAAACACTTTTCATTAAAATCAGACTTATATCGATAAATGAAAAAGATTTTCCATTTAATCTTGAGTATATTACTTTATTATCTTTTTCATTTTTTTTTTCATTTTAAGTGCATCACTTGGTCTGTGTAAGAGGTTCATTTCATGTACACTTTCTGTGCAACAATACTGCAGAGACCAAACTTTAATGTGCAACACTGTTTAGTATTCTTATGTAATGAAAATAGTTGATAAATAAATGTAAAGACACGACAATATGATATGGGGGCTATAAATTAAATTCATTAAACCAATTTTTTATCTGAAGTAAACTAGATGTACATGTACCATATACAGAAAAAAAGCAAAATGTGATAACAGAGTCATGATATATAAGTAAGTAAACATAGCATATTTTTAAAGCACCAGCATTTATAAACTGTGCAGGGCCAATGCAGCCTTTAGCAAAGCTAGATTTTACATCATCACTTGCCCATCCATTGTGGGGAAAATAAAAAAAATCTTAGTTAAATGCCAAAGCTATTAAAGCCCATTATTTTTGGCTTTGCAACCATGCATTCAAGGTCCAAGGACTTTGGGTAAAACTGGCTTGATGAACTAGCAGCAGATTAGCACAAAGACTGGTGTTTGTGTGTATGTGTTTTATATTATAATATAAAATGGGATATTAAAAGCAGTGACTAAATTCATCAAATCTAATATAAATAAAAACTCTTAAACAAACAAAATAGATAATCACTATACAGTGTATAATAAATGTACTTATAACGTGCACATGCACAATTGTGGACACTAGTGACTAAAACTTGGGGTATAAATTGTGTTTTTTTTCCCATTTAATATTAACCCTCCCAGTATTAAGTATTAAAATATAATTATAGCAAGTTACTCCTAAGGCATCATTGGGTACTGAAGAAAAAAGTGGACTGTAACATAACTCAAAATTATACACAAAAAAGTGTCATAAAATAAGTTTGCGAAGTCAGGTTTTTACAATGGAAAACCATATGATTTTAATTAAGCGTTGAAATTTGAAAAATATCATTTTAACAATGTTTCAATTAATTTCAGAGTTTTTTCATAACTTTGAAGTAAGATGCCAAAAAATAACCTGAACTAATTTACCAATGATTTTGTTGCATAATTCACTAGGTATTGGGTAAACCGTATATGAAAATATGTCCTACATAACATCGACACAGCTTTGACCTATCTGCATGAGTAAACCCACAGGTAATATTACACCTAAAATACACCTCTATGTCTATACTTAAACATTTACCCCATACTTGTTTATCTATTTTACTGTAACGTCCACCAAATAAACTGCCAAATTCTCATTCAATGGTTTTGAAAAGATAAATGAACTGGTAACATCTCAGGTTATCTCTCTAAATAAGATGATAATGTAAAACTTAAGTGCTTAAGTCAACATTTTAAGGTCCTTTATCAGAAGTACAAAAAGGAAACTTTAAGAAAAAACACTCTAGATCAAGCTTAAGTTTTGAATTTTAAGTTCAAAATTGATGCGGAAAATAGTTGAGTCTGAAACTTTACATAGCAGTTAAACATGTTTGCCAATAGTAATATTTTATCATTAATTAACCTGATTCATGACCTTCGACCTACTGGCAGCATCAAAATATAGTCCCCTGCAACCAGTGATGACCAAGATCAAACCAGTCAGAACACATTTTGAAAACTTCCCTAAAAATGATAAAATGGTTTTGCCCAGATTGAGAGATAGACCATTTGAGATATTTAGCTTGGTATATGGGTTAAATCTTCATAAACAGATTGTGTTTTACCTGAATCTAACAAAGTATTTTAACAAACTGAAAGCTCATATTACCTATGCATACAACTGTATTCTATTACAAGACCAAGGGTTGTTGTATCCAGTAAAATAATTGAATTATTTATCAGTATGGTATGAAAGAATAATAAGGTTAATTTACTGATATTTCCTATGACATGTATCAGTTACATTTGTTGTGTGAACATTTATACACATGGGATGAACAAAATATTTGTTTGCATTGTTTAAGTCTAATTGGGTGTGTGCCACTTTGTGACAGTATTTCTGTCATTTACATTCTTGTACCTGTTAATAATGTGCTCCTGTACTATTTTTATCTTTGGGTATTTGACTGCCAACTGACAAACAAAATTTAAAAGGTGAAGGTCAAAAATGGGTTATAATTTATACTTAATTTTTCTACATACAAATTATAAGACAATTTATTGTGCAGGTCTGATATGATTTAACCTCCATAATCAGCTTTAAACATAAAATAATGTGTCCTTATATATATATTGCAATATATTTTTCATTATATTTTTTGGACTTTTTAGTATGTCATATTTGTTGACAAGTGAAAATCAATATGTTAAAATGTTAACATACATGTATATTAGATGAATTTTAAATATAGAATGTAACCAACCATATCTAATACATTTTGTAGTTTTAATAATTCATGACAAAATTTATACAGTTTAGTATATCACATGGTTTACTTAAATAGCTTTATTGCAGTAAATAAACAAAATTACTCTATCTTTTATATACTGCCAGCCTACACAATTCAATGTTATTGGGTTATTGTGATTTTGCATTAATATCTGACTAATTTTATCTGTATCATCTTTTGTGATCAAATGAAGTAGAGGACTGGTGTTTCAACACAGTGTTTATATATTGTAGTGTAAATATCTTTGTATAGATTTATTCCGGAATTCAGAATATTTTGGGTTTTCTCAGCTAATCCAGGGGTACAAACAAACTTCTACAGTTACAGCTTCGAAAATAACAATAACAATTTACCAATCTATTGTGACCGGTGCATGTTGAAGCTATAACTTTAAAGGTTGTTGACTGAGGGATTTAAGCTTGGTAAAACCCACATTTGCAGAGTTCCGAATAACGGGTACCGACTTTATGTAAAAAGAAGAACATTGTACAAATAAATATTGTATAATGTCTTATGTGCTGTGAGGTGTTCACAAAAATTCACCTTACTTTGACTTGACTTAGTTTCAATTTTTGGTCCTTTGGGGTCATAAAATCCACAGAATACTAAGGTTACAGAATTCCTCTTAGACCTTATCCGATATCGTGAGTGATACTGCACTATTTAGATATGTATAAAAAAGAATTAAGGTTCAGACTATCACATAATATAATATATAAACTCATATTTTTAAAGTGTGTATGGGCCTGGTGACCTTTAACTCAAAGAAGTTTTTTGTTGCTTTTGTAAAGTAAAAATGTGTCTAACATATAAAATAAACCTATATTTAAACAAAAGTAAGATAAAGAAACTATATATAGTGCTAAAAGAGATCATCTACAAAACTAAACAGTGTGCATAGAGCAAGAAATCATCAAAACATATCTAATTTATCTAATTAAATCAATGTGCCTCTGCAGCCTTAATTATGTAAGTACTTTCTGACTATAAATTTTTAAATTGACATTATGCTCATTTTTTCATTTTCAAGTTGAGCTGTTTCAAAAAATTGACTGTTATAATAGTTATTTACAAACAAATTACATTTGTTTATTGGAAAATGTTTAGGATAAAAGATTAATTTGCCTAAAATATAAAAAGACTGTCCACCTCACTCTTTTCAGTAATTGATCGTGTTGATATTTACATAAATTTCCTTGGGCCTAATGAGTTATGGTTTTTGCAGAGTAAATTATAAAATTGTAAGGTATTATGGCTAGATATAAACTTATATTGACTTTCACCTGTTCACTCACTATATACCCTTGGATGGGCATAATGTCACTTTAAGCAAATACATCTCATAATCAATCAACTGAAAACAAGCAGTATAACAAAAAGAGGTTTAGTTGCTATGTCAACACAGCACACTGCAAAAACCAAGGGCTGATAACTTCTATATCCTGCATAAAATCTACAGTCAAAACTACACAAAATAATTTATTTTTGTAATAAAGCTTAAATAGGAATCCATGCCACAAGGTTTTGTTTCTGTCTTGTACTTAACAAATATTCAGCTGAAGAATTTTATAGAATTATTTTGGCGAAAAAAACACCCTGTGTATACACATTTTTAAGTTACAGAATTCTTTTAAGCTTAAAATATTACAAATCAAACGAGAAAATGTGTCTTAAAAAGGTAAGTCAGCCATTTGCAATAAACCTGGCATGTTCTATCATTAGAAAAAATGTCAAATTTTAAACTGCCTGACAGACTAATAGACTGACAAAGGCATGCAATAAGAATAAAGACTGTTTAACAATCCATTGCAGAAAACCTTACTTGCCAGGTATACTGGTATAACATTCATAAATACTGATTGCTTGGAAAATAAAATTTGACTGTAAACAACAAAACAATGGAAAAGTTCAGTTCATCAAATTAGTATAACTTTGGATTGCTATTCTACGATTCTATGGAAAAAAATCTTTGTTAGTTAAATTAAGAACTGCAGTGTTGCTATGTAATCTAAGGTGTTGTTATAAATAAATGAGCCGCGCCATGACAAAACGACTTACAAACCCAGGTATTACAAGTAGAATCTGATAGGGAACAGCATGGATCCTGATCAGACTGCGCGGATGTGCAGGCTGGTCTGGATCCATGCTGGTCGCAAACCCACTATGTTGGTTTTGTCATGACATGGCTCAAATACAAACTAATAATAAAACATAATAAAATCAGGCAAAGCACACAAGAACAGGAAAAATGTTACATGGTCCACAATTAGTGAAACAACTCAACTTGTCACACCAAATACATACATGTAGTAATGGACTCCCTTATTGCTCAATAAAGTAAAGTCAGTTAAAGATATACTTTGCTTAAATTTGATATTTGAAAAATTGATAATTGCTACACAGACTCTTTGAAAAAAACAAATATATAATAATTAATGTTTTGACTCCTACATACTGAAGTGGACACACTATAAATATATATATATATGTGGCAGATTTTATAAGAAAGGACTAGCTTTACTTGACCTGTAATAAGAAATACAGATTCCCAAGCTCTTTTATTTAAATTAGACATATTCAGTAAGAATTTCATAGATTTCAAAAAAATTTCTGTGATAAAAATATATTAATCAAAAATGATCATATTATATATTTAACTGTGTAATTATCTTGGAAGAAATATCTGTAAAATTACTTGAAAGTAATGTTAATTATTTTTAACACTTAAGGTGACAACGGAGTCAATTATCACTGAAAATACCTAAAATGAGATTTTTTGCTAAGAAGATTTATCAACCTTTTCTCAACACATTCGTGATTTAATTTTGGAAGCAGTTAGTCCAAAAAATGTGTTTTTAAACGTTTTAAAACGGTACCTTTACTATTTGTATCTGCTATTCGCGTAACCTGTCGATTATCGATAACGCTCCGCCCCCTGTTGAGGCATCAATGAGGGAAATCGGTAGTTCCATATACAATGTATCCGTGAATTACAGGTCCATACTGGTCCATACTACTCGTAATACATGTATCGTACAACTACCGTACATCTTTTATGAATATCTCAACATTTAGCCTTTTTTTTATAAATCAAGAATTTGTCGGCCAATGTACGTAACATAATGTATGAAACATAAATAATTAAGCATAGCGGCAAATCGCACGACCACGGGGTTGATTAAAAATGTAGTTGCTAAAATATCCATAATGTGTGAGAATAATTTGTCTGTCCCGTTAATCTGATAGATATTACATTGAGTTGATAGACTTTTGTACGGATTCAAGGGCTTACTTTACATTCAACCTCGTTTTCTAACAATGTCAAGTAAAACAACAACAAAAACAGACAACATTTTTTATGTGAACGCCTATATGACTTGTGGTAAGGTGTCCCTGACAAATTTCTAAACCATTTTAGATTGTCTAAGGATGATTATTTCTCTATGAATAAAAAAAAGATATTAAAATATATTCTCAGTGAAAATAAATTGTTCGCCAGTAAATCGGACACAGTACTAATAAATCTGGGACAAAGTATGAAATTTATTGTCTATCCCGGTAAAAACTGGATCTCTATGCCGTGCATAGATGATATTCATGATAATAGAAGTCAAGAAGGCCAGATCATAATGATCGAGTAATACCTTTTATTTCTATTAAAATATGTGAAGCATTATCAATTTGGTGGAAAAAATATATAATATCCCGTTCTTATTTGTACATCTACCATGGACTTTAAAAGACTGTCATGCAGAAGCTCAGTTTTTTGTTATTTTATTTTATATTTTAACGGAATTTCATACACGAATACACAGGCAGAGTGACACTGGTATAATACAATAACAGACTTCCCGAAATACGTCGGTCCGACGGACATGTCCGATAAATTTTGATCAGGTCCGACGTTTTTTTATTCCGGATCGGTCCGAATGTCCGGCTTTTATCCAAGCAGCATGTATACAAAATGGCGTCGCTAAAGCTGCCAAACCTGGGAAAAACGAAAATCTTCGTCAGAGGAGCGCGCAGAACAGCAATAAAAGGATGAAAAGAATAGACCTGAGACAAAATTTAATGAAAAATGGAAGGAGGACCATGAATCGTTGGTGTATAACAGGGAGGAGATGAAAATGCACTGTACGGAATGTGCCGATTTTTACGGCGAAAAAATTAAAAACAAAAAGTGTCTTAGAAATACAAACACAAGTTTTTCTTTGATTTTGATCAATTTTATTTGGTCTGAAAGATTTCGTTTCGGTCCGACAGATTTTCATGGTTTGTCAGACCGAATGTCTGACAGTTTTTTTTAACTTTCGGGAAGTCTGCAATAATGATGCTGATGATAATAATAATAATAAACTTCAAAAAGGAAACAATTAAATACCCCGCTAGCGGTGCGCAAATGCGTTCCATTTCCCCCACTGAGTGCCTCAAATTTTACCGAAAGTCACGTGACATGTGCGACAGATACCAGACGGACAGTAAATCACGTTAAGAATTGAAGAAATTTCGGCTATAAACTGATATTAATCAGCAGCTTTTTAATTGGTCAGATGTCACTGGGTCATAAAATGTTGTTAGAGTATGTTACCGCAACTTGTGACCCTCTCTGGTGCGACATTTGTGTATTATGCAATTATTTAGCGTGAAACGTAGGGGACCGAGAGAGAATAGCCGATTTATGACACTTCGTTTGATGCGGGTCGGACTAACTTTGAATCGGCATAACTTTTTTAATAATCAAGCAATTAACATGCCGTTTAAAGCACATGAAAGGAAATTCATTTACGGAGGGAGCCGTGTCAGGGATTTTTGTTTGCTCAATCAGCGACTTAATTATCTTTAATTACGTAATATGTATGGTGAAAAAAGTCGCATAAACTGTTTGACGTTACGTAATATTATTTTGAGAAAAGATAGAAAAAATTTGAGACATGGTTCCCCAGATAATATAAGTATGGTTATTTTCCAAAAGTTTGATGACAAAAAAATAAAAAATGACTTTGATACGACGATTTAAAATTTTAGGATTTTTATTCAAAATCAATCATTTACAAAGGCATTTTTTTCAAATATGTTATTTTTTATGATGATCAACGATATTTAATGCACAAAGATTAAATAAATAACAATTATTACTAAAATAACTTGGTTTAAATGACATTTATGTGAGTACCACGGAAAGTGTCTGTTGTCACCTTAATACTTTAAGTTTAAGCAATGAAATGTTTCACTGTTAACATTTGACATTGTTTTTCTAACATAAATTCTTATAATAACACAATATGTATGATTATTATGAAGTTTGACAGTTTTTCTTCAAAAGCTCTCAAACAGTTGATGTAAGAAAATCTGTTAAGCATCAATACATTGAGTCCATTACTACATGTTTTTTTCTGTGGCCTGTATAATCACTTACAATCCGCCCCGTTTCCATGACGACGGAACCATAAGAACCATACGAGAACAACAATTAATACGACGGCAACAAGGCCTCCAATTACTCCACCAACAATGGCCCCAACATTACTAGGTCCAGCTCCTGCAAAATGTATTATTTTCTTTTGTATCTTAAATATATGTTATTCTTTAATAAAGAGCCTCCCATTCCAGTGTCAATTTCAATATGTCAGCTTTAAGCAGAAGGTCTGTTAGATTACAAAAAACACATCTTAATTTTTGAGGACAACCAAAATTTAACCATTTGAAATCCCGAACAAAATTTAAAAGCTTGTATACTATAAGATATTTTCAAGCATAGGGGTCGGTCTACTAAATTTACCAAGTTTTATCTTTCTGCTATGACACACATATTGAATTTGACCAACGGTAATGGATCAGCTCGGTATATGTCCTAACTGTGAGCCTGGATAATGCATGCTGTCAACACTTACAATCTTCTCCGGAATTTCGTCGTCTATACCAAAGGAAGTATACTAGTAAAACAATGAGCACTATCAAAACCAGACCACCGACAACACCGCCTACAATAGCAGCTGTGTCCGAACCTCCTAAAATACAAATTGTCATTTGGTTATATTATCATTTTCTTTAATTGCTATGGCTGATATATTTTATGTCTTTAGTATGTAAGCCACTTGATTTTCATCCACAGATATCTGTACTTGAAAGCGGGTTGTATGCCATTGATCTTTGATACACAGTAAGAAAATTTTACACGGAGCACAAGCTTATTTCTAGACCCTGTACTAATTCAAATTCAGGACAAACTGTTTGGAAATAGTGTATTTTATTGGTCAATTTCTACCTTTAAATATTTTCATCATAAATTATATATACAGAATGAAAGCTAACTAATACAGCAGCTTCTGTTCCAGTGCTTATTTCTATTAAATTTATTTGAAGAACCTAAACGTATCCATAATCAAAATTTACTCTAAACAGTACTCGGCAGATTATTGACTCAATACAAGTCAATACTCAAACAGCCAATGATTAGCAAGGTGGAAAAAATTTAATAATATTAATTAATTTATAAAACTTTACTTAGGACTAAAATACTGACTGGATATCAACATTTGTTAATGACTGTTGACTGTTGTCAAAAATTTCAATGTACATGTTCAAACCAAATGAAGAGAAAAATCTCACTAAAAAAAGAATAAAAAGTAATTTTACCTGCTGTACCAACATTTTCCCCTGTGTTTCCACCACCACCTGAACCAGCTGTAATATTAAAACATATAATTATCAAAAAAGTTAAAACACCTTACATTAGTTCTCCTTAACAAAAATTCTTTTTCTGTTTACTGACTCTGAGTACTACTTTTCCTTGTGGAAGTTGTTTAAATTTTTTTATCTTTTTTAGTATATAACAATAATTACATTCACTGACAACTTGACACAATGTACGCATATTAAGGCTCAAAGACTTTAATGGCTTTTTGCCAGCCCCATTCTATAAATGTAATACCAATTTCTTCTAAGAAAATTTAGAATAGTCAATCACTACATAATTTAAATATGTTCTAAAATGACTTTTTTCTAATTTTTAAATGTGTTGTTGAAGGGGTAAGTGTTATAGATTGATGGAATTATATTATCTGTCATATGTTGCGGTTCAGACTGGAATATCCGTCCCGAGGGGACCGGGCGCCCATGAGCGGATTGACCCCAAAGGACGGATATTCCAGTCCCAACCGCAAACATATGTCAGATATTTTTTCTTGCATATTCTGCCATATTATTTCATATTCAAAATAGTTTACCTTCATATGTTATATCTTCATTGAAATTAAAGTCATTTCATCCATAACTATTTTCTTACAATAGCGTATAAACTTACAACTTAAATAACAACAGCCAAATGACGTCATCCTAAGCACACATTTCCCTTCTAAAACGACATCATTTTAACGAGGTTTATTCATAAAGTATGCTAAAATGACGTTGTTGTTTGGCACGCGACTCATCTGGCACTCTCATGTCAGATGAAATTTCCGGCATGGGTAAAACTCCTGAAATGCCAGTCTGATATGCAAGAAAAAGTAGAGAATGTTTCAATGCTTAACTTGCGTTTTTTTTAATCAGATGGTGAATTTAACTTATAAAAGTGATAAAACTGTTGATTACTTACTGACATCAGTGTAGAACCTTGGGTTGTTTTCAGAGGTATAAGAGTTCCCATACGGATCTCCAGTAACTGTAACATAACAGTCAAATGCAAGATTGTTATCTCTATTGGCATCAGCTGCTGTTGTGTTGTATCTGATTGAAGCTACTCGTGTATATCCACACTGATTATCACTGATTGCAGTACCCTCATCATATGTTCCTTGTGGTGCTTGATATCCAATAAAGTCATCATTTTGGGACGTTTCTGATGTTCTGTGCCATCGAATAATAGTTCCTGGTATGCTTCCTATATTAGCAGTACATGTAAGTTGCAACTCATCTCCTACCGCCGCAGTAGCCATGTTAGATGGTGACATTCCTTCTACTATAAAACCATTCTTTCTTACAACTAATGATGTCACTTGAGGTTTAACTGGAATGTTGAATGCAAAGATTACAAAGTTTAAATAGGCCTAGCAGTCCTTATGCAGGCATCCTGTAATACAGTGATCATGTTGAGGTCTTTGGGTCTAAGATTAGAGCCAGGTATTGTTATGCATGAAATGATACCAATTCCAATAGAACGATACAGTCATCTATTAAAGAACTCAATATAAACAAGAGCTGTCAGTAGAACAGCAACGCTCGACTATTCTAAGCGCTTGTTAGTAAAAAAGCCTTGATTAAAGGTAAAATTTTCTCAGTTAAGAAAAAGGCAAAATTTTTCTTCAAATCCATATTACAGTTAAAGGCATTGGAGAGAGTCCTATTATGCTCTAAAAGAAGAGTATAAAATTTCAACATGTTTCAAAGCCTTATCATGTCAATGAACTTTGAAAATATTTGAGGTATTACAAAAACTTTAAGGTAAATTCTAAGTCGAAAAAGGGGCATAATTCTGTCAAAATGCTTGATAGAGTTACCTCCTCCTGTCTACAGTTTGGCGTCATGATGATGAACAAGTACATGCAAAGTTTTAAGGCCATTTGTCAATGGACTATTTAAATATTTGAGGTATTACAAAAACTGTTACCTAAATTCTTAGTTGAAAAAAGGGCATAATTCTGTCAAAATGCTTGATAGAGTTACCACCTCCTGTTAGGGTCATGAAGGTGAACAAGTGTGCAAAGTTTCAAAGCCATATGTCAATGGTATTTAAAAATATTTGAACTATTACAAAAACTTTAACGTAAATTCTAAGTAGAACAAGAGCTGTCGGTACGACAGCAACGCTCGACTATTCTTAGTGCTTGATAGTAAAAAAAGCCTTGATCAAAAGATAAAATTTTCTAAGTAGAGAACAAGATTGCATTTGTAAACTAGAAATGTGTCCATAGGACACTGGTGCCCCAACCGCGCCACTGTTCTGTCAATCTTTTGACTCTAGGTCAAATATTTTTTGAAAACTAAAAATCTTTTACTAAGTAAAGGGCAAGAACTTTACAAATACTGAATAAATCCACAAGCAAACCCCAAGGTGCATAAGTACACATGCCGACCAACATTCTTGTAAACTTTTAGGCGTACCAGTGAAATACTTTTTTTCTTACCTTCCCGTAAGGTTTAATGACTCTATGTCAAATCCTTTTTGAGTTACTTGTGACACAAGTTGAAAATTGCAAAAATTTTCTAAGTCAAGGGCAATAACTCTAAAAATACTAAATAAATCCAGACGAAAACACCTAGGTGCACAACTGCACATGCTGTTCAATATTCCTGTTAAATGTTTCATGACTATATGTCAAATCCTATTTGAGTTACATGCGACACAAGTTGAAAATTGCAAAATTTTACTAAGTCAAGGGCAATAACTCTAAAAATACTAAATAAATCAAGATGAAAATACCCAGGTGCACAACTTCACATGCTGATCAACATTCCTGTAAAGTTTCATGACTCTAGGTCAATTACTTTTTGAGTTACATGCGACACAAGTTGAAAATTGTAAAATTTTACTAAGTCAAGGGCAATAACTCTAAAAATACTAAAAATGTCCAGATGAAAATACCCAGGTGCACAACTACACATGCTGATCAACATTCCTGTAAAGTTTCATGACTCTGGGTCAAATCCTTTTTGAGTTACATGCGACACAAAAGAGAACGGATGGACGGAAGGACGGAAGTTCTAACAGGATAATAATAATGTGGCTACTCTATTGTTCTGTCTATTGTTCTTTTTAGCCACACAAAAGAAAATAGCCACATAAAAGCATTACGGTATGAATGACATCAAAGAGAAAGAACAGTTACCTATTGTCCCTCTAGCCAAATAATTACTGTCCTGTGAGTGCGGACGGAAAGGTGGACAGACGGACAGACAAGGGTAAATCTAATTGCCCGCCACTAAAGTGGAGGCACAAAAATGCCATGCCACCGCATAAATACCACACTAAAAAGTAATGGAGGAACACAATTGTTTTTGTTTCTATACAGATTGCCATAGATCACTTACCTATCTGTTATTATCAGATTAGTACCTTCAGACTTAAAGATTTTTTCTTTTTTTCTTTATGACATAGTGACTGAAAATCAATGATCCCCAGAGGCGGGGCAAATTTTGACCCCAGGGCTTTAATTTGAATAATCTTGCTACAGGTTCACTACACAATGTTTAATGCAAAATGTCTCACCTCTTACCTTTGTCAATTCAAGAAGATGATTTTTTAAAGTTTTTACTATATACATGTAAGGAAAACCTATGCCCCCCCGGGCGGGGCTAGTTTTGACAGTTGAGGCAAAATCTGAACAACTTTGGTGGAGTACCTATAGATGATATACCAATTATCAAAGCTCTAAGCCTTGTACCTTCAGACAATCAGATTTTTTAATTTTTAACTACAGTCTAACTTGCCCATGCGTGTATTAAGCGACTTTTGTCTTAAACGACCACTTTAAATTCCCCCCGATCATTTTCTCTCTATATCTTTAATGTATTAAGTGACTTTTGCTCAATGCGACCAGCGACCGCTAATTAGTCACCTAATTGAGATAAAGCTTTTCATTAAACGCCCACTTTTACCTGTCAAGTAATTGTGTTTTTAGAGAACGCTGCCTTGTAATGTGACAAGTATCAACAATCAAAACACAACAAATGAATGTGTAAAAAACTCTATTTCCCATACCGTTTTAGCGTATGCAAATGAAGGTAAGTATATGCGAGACGTGTATTATCCAATAATATCGGATAAACAATGCAACGCTCCTCCCCTACTGAGATGGTGTATACGCTTGGCTTGTTGACATTTAGACTGCATTGAATTTACCTTGAACTTAATCAGCAGTTAAATTTATCGTAATAATTAGATGTAGTTTGTTTTTTCAAATGAAAAAATACACAACAGAAAACATCTTCACTAATAGGGTTTTTGTGTTAGAGACAAGGAAAAACAACGGAGAAGTTAACAAATTCTGGAAAAAATGTCAAACATGTACGTAATGGATCAAAACAGTTTTGCACCCCGTTTTGTCAATAAATATCAGAAAGTTATTTTTTACATTTGCATCCATTTAGATTATCGGAGTGTACTAATTATTCCACATTTATATAAAAACGAAGTTAAACAAGATTGCATTTGAGAAAAATGCTATGCCACCGCATGGTTCAAATTTCATAGCTGTACATCAAAGGACAAGAAAGTAGGTCACATCATCAAAATCTAGGTCACCTGATATCAAAGTTCAATTTTACAACTAAAACTGTGCACATGGTCAAAATGTCATTGCTGTACATCAAAGGACAAGAAAGTAGGTCACTGTCCCCTTGGGCAAGGCATAATTTTGACCCAAGGGTTTAATTCAAAACAATTTTGATACAGGTCCACCAAACAACATTTCAAGTCAAATATCTAAGCTATAGCTTTCTCCCATTTAGAAAACATTTGTTTTATTTTCTGTTTTTACTATGTGTACATAATGAGAATCACTGCCCCCGGGCAGGGCCAATTTTGACACCAAGGGAAAATTTTGAACAACTTTGGTAGAGGACCTATAAATGATATTATATATCAAACATCAAAGCTCTATACCTTGTACCTTCAGACAAAAATACTTTTTATTTTTTCACTATATGTACATAATGAAAATCAATGACCCCCGGGGCGGAACCAATTTTGACCCCAGGGCTATAATTTGAACAATCTTGCAAGAGGTTCACTACACAATGTTTCATGCAAAATATCTTATCTCTAGCCTTTGTAAATTTAGAGAAGATAATTTTTTAAGTTTTTACTATATATATATAATGAAAACCTATGGCCACCGGGGGCGGGGCTAATTTTGACACAAGAGGCAAAATTTGAATAACTTTTGTAGAGTACCTTTAGATGATATTATTTAACAAATATTAAAGCTCTAAGCCTTGTACCTTCAGACAATAAGATTTATTTATTTTTTACTATATGTATATATTGAAATCAATGACCCCAAGGGCGGGGGCAATTTTAACCCTAGGACTATAATTTGAACAATCTTGCTAGAGGTTTACTACACAATGTTTCATGCAAAATATCTAACCTCTAGCATTTGTCAATTGTTAGAAGAATTTTTTTTGAAGTTTTTACTAAAAGTTTTTACTATATACATATAAGGAAAACCAATGACCCCCGGGGCGGGCCGATTTTGACCCCAGGGCTATAATTTGAACAATCTTGGTAAGGGTCTACCAGACGATGCCTTATGCAAAATATCTAAGCTCTAGGCCTTTTGGGTTTTTACAAGAAGGTATTTTAAGTTTTTACTATATGTACATAGTGAAAATCAATGACCCCCGGGGCGGGGCCAATTTTGACCCCAGGGCTATAATTTGAACAATCTTGTTAGAGGTCTACCAGACAATGCCTTATGCAAAATATCTAAGCTCTAGGCCTTTTGGGTCTTTACAAGAAGATTTTTTAAATTTATTCTTATAATTCCTTTTGGTTGCCATGGCAACCAGATTTCTGCATGGAATTAAATTCTTTGAACATCTTTGGAAGCCCTTCACCCAAGGAACAATCCTGCCAAGTTTGGTTGAAATTGGACTCGTGGTTTTTCACAAGAAGATTTTTTAAGTTCACTATATAATCTATATAACACACACACAAACACACACACAAACACACACACAAACACACGCACACACACACAGGTGAATCGCTATATGCCACCGCAGCACCACCGCATCGCAGATGCTGCGGTGGCATAAAAACATTCCTACCACATAAGAAAGATGTCATTCATAAATTTTGACTTTTATATCATGCTGACTGTCTCAAGAGACCGTTTCATTAAGCGACTGTTTTGGGTGTTTCCTTTGCGCGGTCGCTTAATACACGTTTGACTGTATATGTACATAGTGAAAATCAATGAACCCTGGGGGTGGAGCCAATTTTGACCCAAGGGCTATAATTTGTACAATCTTGCTAAAGGTTCACTACACAATGTTTCATGCAAA